TATTCTGTATTAGCTTTAAAACTACAAGGAGGAAGTGTTTTAGAAACTTGTTTAACAGCTGTTTCATTCATAAGTTCACAGTTCCTGCAAAACAGGTATGTGCGAGTTCTCACAGAATATTCTATTTTTAAGTTACCTGCAGGCACAACCTTAAGTCTAAGTATATACAGAAGTCAATAAATAAACAAACCAAAACCAACCAACAGCCTCTGATCTCTCGGGGTCCCTCAGTTCTCTTGGTAATTCCTTTAGTGTTTTCCCTCCATTCAGCACCAGGACTGGAAAAAGGAATTTAAAGGGAGAGAAGTAATAACTACAGAACTGGTCTTACTCTGGAGTGAACAGGAGGTCAATTCATTATTTTCCCCATAGGAATATCTTGAACTATTAAGAAAGAAAAAAATTTAACATGGGGATATTAAAATAAAAATATATTCCCATGTTAAAAAACCCGTTAAACTGAGGCTTGAGGAATAAAATTAACCACAAACTGACAGGAGATAAGAGCAACGCAGAGAAGAGAAGCCAAAGATTCCAGCTTTGAATCTTCTGCTCCTAAACTAGAGTAGGAAAATCCTGTGGGTGGGAGATATTATAGTAGCTTAGTTTTTCCAGTCTCTGCTTCTGCTCAACAGCTTAAAAGAATTCAAGATCACGGCAACAAAGATGAAAAGGTCAGACTAAACTCATTGCTCACACTATGCACTAGAAATATACAAGCCTCTGACAAACAGCTTGATGAATGTGAATGCAGAAGACTGAATGCTGCCCTCCCAACAGCCAGTGCAAGTTTACAGACAATTTTAAACACTAAATAACTCTGACTTTTCCAAACAAATAACTGAAAGCACCAGCTAAGACTGAAGAAGCCTGAGACAGAAGTCTTCTTTTCTGCTGGTCACGCTGTGCATGCTGGGAAGGAGATGCTTTTCTTGTTCATACCAACATGTCCCTGAGTTTCTTCCAAGAAAAGATGGAATCTGGCTTTGATGCTTTCGACAGGAAGTTAGAGCTTGCAGCTGGCACATCTATGAATAGGACAAGCACTGGTGGGCTAGAAGGGACCGCAAGTAGGTCACACGGTTCCAGCTCTTCACAGCACACAATTGAAATAAATACACAAATTTCATTGTCCAGCAGCATTCAAACACACAGGCTTAGAATTAATTTCTAATAGCTCTTCGTATCAGGTAAAATCCAGTCATGTGACCTTCGCAAAAATAACAAAAACAGTACAGTCACAGCCATGGACAACTTGTTTAAAAACACCCATTGACATTCATACAAAATATTTTGCTGTGGCCATTTCTACTCCATTTGCACTCCATTTCTACTGTTCACTTTACTAAATTAATAATTTTTTTAATAAATAAAAATTAGATCTAAGCTGAATTAAGTGGGGTAATGGCTACTTTTTGCACATTTAAATAATAAAGCACTAATTCTTCAGGCCACATTTTCAAGCTTAGTCATAGTCCTGGGCTTATCTGACCATTTCTAAAATCTAAAGTAACTTTAAGGCATCTCCAATTTGTCTTTGATTGGAAGAGCTCAACAGAGGCTATTCCACAAAGCAAGAATAAAGTGAAACAGCAGTATTCACGTCATCTTCCAGCCTAACCCTCTGATGACAGGATTTGTGAGATGGCTATATACAAAGTGTAGCTAAGAAGTGAAAACTCAGTTTGGTTCCTAGGGAAGAACTGACAGCCTAACGTGCCTGAGAATTTTAGAGCTGCAGAAAAATATTATTAGTTTAGCATACTCCTTCAGATAATAATCTGGCAAGTATTTAAAGGCCAAATAAATGCAAGGACTCTGCCCACAGGTACAGAAACTCTTGTATTGTATTCATCACTTTAATTTGTAGCAAACTAATGTTTTTTCTTTCTTCTCCCCACCCTCCCGCCTTGAAGCAGAAGTGTGCACACACAGATCTGGGAGTTTAGCTGAACACACACATTTCCTATAAGAAATACCAACAAACAATTCAAGAATTCTTACACTGCTACATAAGCAGTTGGATTTTACAGCCAGTGCTGCTTTTATACAGCTTTTAATGTTCTCATAAAAATCTAACATAATTTTAGGACAGAACTTTTCATGCACTAGATTAAAATTCTACAGAAGACAAGCTTTGAGCCTGAAACAGCTTGACAATGTCCTTTCAGCTTGTTCATCAAATTAACTTTCTGTCACACATCAGACGAACAGCTTCCTTGGTTTCTTGCCTAATCTAACACATAACCCAAGCAATTCCCTTCTAAAGCACAATCAGAAGCAAAATCAAAAACAACTGTAATATTCCACTTCTTTCTAATAGCACATTCAGTTTGAAATTTTCATTTCTGCCTCTGTCTAAGAAAGATTACCCTTTTAGCAAACCATTTACAGTGATGGGACTCTGATTTCAGATAGGATTAAAACAACATACTAGACATACACAAACCAAGGGTCTGAGTTGCTTACAGGACTAATAATGTGTTATAGGTCCTTTCACATCTAGGTCACTGGTTCAAATTCAGCTTTAGCTGGTGATGAGTGAAAAGGAAGAATGAGGTAAGAACCACCCAGTCATGAATCTGGCCTCTATTCCTGCCTCTGCAACTTTGTGCACTAGGGCTACCCACATAACTACTCTTTCCTGCAAATTCAATGGTTGTAAAATAGCAGTATTATGAATATCATACTAATCCTAGAAAACGAACTGATTTAGGATTCTTAAAGTACCCAAGATGGTCAGAAGATTGAAGTATTGCTGCTTTCAGGCTTTTCAATAGCCAAAATGAAGTAAGTTAGGGGGGAACTTTCTCAGGACTGGTCAACACCTCGATATGTAAAAAGAAAAGCTCTGGCCACATCTGTATCTTGTGACAGCAAAATAAACATGGAAATCAAATGTTGAATGACTGAAATTCCACTTTTCCCCCACAGGTAAACAGCATGGCTTAAAATTGAAGCAAACTGGAGAACCAAAGCAGCCATATTATGGATAAGAAAGACAGGAGAAAACCATATAGTGGGGAGATGCACTATCCTCTCCTATTACACAACACCACATCTAAATACTGTGCCAATGTTAGTTGACAGAAGAGGAAAGGCAGAGAAGGAAAGAAGTTTCTCACCCCTGCATCCCTTGATAAAATTTGAATTACCAAAGGAGCCTGCGCTGCTGCTGTCTGTACTGGTCTTGTTCTGAGGCTACACAAAGGTTTACAATTCAACAAGTGTCATGCTGGCACATTTTACTACTTCAGACCCTTAATTAAAAACAAGTAATGAGAGAAACAAAAAACCCAAACATACACAAAAAGCACCAACACATTTTAACTCATTCTTGGGTTAAAAGGTGATAACTAATGGTAGTAGAGAGTTCAGACACAACACGATTGCTTCACTAATAAGCAGTAACTCCTACAAAAATCATAATTCTATTTCTTTCATAGTCCTGATTTCAGAATACTATCGAACTAGGGCTCATACACAGCACTGAGAATCTTTCTTACTTGCAGGAAAATTCAGAAAGATTAGAACTATTCTGTACTTTTTCTACTTTTCAAGTATTTTAACCACAAGGGAAAAAAGAGAGCACAATTTGTTATTACTTCCACTTCAGAGTCAGCTATGCCTTTCTTTTCAGAGGTGGCTCATACAGAGCAATTTTAAAGACCAAAGAAAAGCACAAGCACTGTGATCAAGAGCATTTAATGAGACAATGTGCCATATCTTCATGCCAAGAAGGAAATAATAAAGATGAAAAATTATGCTGTCCTCTTCCAAATCTAGTTACCAAATTTCAATTCTTTCTGACAGAGGTAGGGAGTGATTTTCAAGCAATAAACTTCTGAGATATTTGGGCAAGGGATGGAGCCAAAAAAAGCCACAAGCACAATTCCAAAATGATTTAATGGGCCTGCTTTGCTCAAGCTCCTCTTGACAAAATTACGAAGTAAACACATCAATCAGTGTTAAGGCATTACACTTATGTGCTGCTCTTCAACATTCTGTTTAATCTACCATCAACTCCTTTCTTATGTTCATTGAAATGAATTGCAGAAATAATGTCAAGTTTTTTAACCACTGCTTAGTTGAGGATTTTGCCACCAAGCTCTTCCTGTGTTAACTGTCTGTGATCAGCCAGAGCAAAGATCGGCTGACCAGAAGCATGTGAAAGTGCAACAAGAAAGAGAGGAAATACTCATATTATAGGAAGTAGGAAGTCTTCATGCTATTATCATGCCTTTGCAGGAAAGACGAGTATTGCTTTACATCAGACATTTGGGTCTATACATGAACTGAACTCTAAATAGCAAATTTCTCTGCATATGTCCCTGGCTGAGGGTATTCTGATCATTCTTTTCAACCTGGGAAAGCTCAGATTATTATATTACTTTGCAAACCTTCATTCAGAATTATCATTGTTTGTTAGCACATTAAGTCCTTTCTATAACCCCAAAATGTGTGCTTCCCTCTAATTCTGTGCAGAAAAAGGAAACATGAAGATGTAAAGTACTATATAGCATCACACAAACCCTCATGTTACATTCACACAACATTGTGTGTGTGCCTTCAGTTTGAGGCACTGTATTCAAAACCAGACAAGCATAATGCAAGGGACAGAACTATTTGCTGTCCTTCATCTGTGACCTGTTTCTCCCTGGAATCACTCATAATCATTAGATAACATCAAATTTGTAGCCTAGCCTGTGTTATAACTCTAGCAGCAGCTTCAGAAGACAGAAAATAATGCTCTAAATGCATGTGAATGAAAGTACAATGCTGAGAAACATTATAAAACCGACATGGCTGGAAAATTCATTCCCAGCCCTTAGAAAATGTAAGATCTTTTAGTTAGTACACTTACTTTCTTTTTATTTATAAATGGATTTTCAGAGAAACTGAAAAATAATTTTGTTCCCAGACATCACCAGAACACTGCAAGTAACAATGTGGATTTGTGTCAGTGTAGAGTTTCAGTTCTGATAGAAGGGATCTCTTACCTTCAGACAGGGACAAATCATCAGCTGGAGACACCAGGTCTGCCTGGATCGCAAGGCCATTGCTCAACGATGTGGTAATCTGATTCGTCAAGATAACCTGCAAACAGACAGGGAGAGGGGGAAGGGAAATGAGTTTTATAGCTATAGAGGGTAGAGAGCAGCCTAGGCGAGAACTAGGATCCTCCAGGCACAGCATCCAGGCAACTCTCTACTCTGACCTTCAGCAACTTCAGCACTCAGAAAGCCCTTAACTATGTGCAGAAACTGAAAGAGATAATTGCAAGGAGTGCAGGAAAAGGGATATAAAACCAAAATACTAAATGACAGTACGTTGTTACATACAGTTGCCTAAAATGAAACTACTGTTTGGAAGAGCTTCATTCTTCAATGAACAATTCGACGCTCCCTTACAAAAAGCATTATTTTCTTCATAGGCAAATAGGAAATCTACTTTCCTAGTAATTTCTACACAGCTTATCCATTTCCTTCCTTTGGCTGAAACACAGTGCCATGGATAAAAGTGCTGCAGGGATACATCCCCACTGAGCTGAAGCACAAGAGCTCTAAATTTCACAGGGCTATCTCTACACAAGATTCTACAGTGTTTTTCAGGATCTGAATATTCTGATAAATGACAGACTGTGGCACCCACTCTGACAGCATAAGCAGTCGTTTTACTTGCAAAAGATGAACAGTTTATTACACCTTTGAACATGTACTTATTTCTAGTAACAGAAACCATTAAAGCAAACACAGTGAACACCACAGAAAGAGCAGCACAGGTATAAATGCAATTATCTTCTAATGCTTTGGCTCTCTAAGCAGCTGCGATTACAATTGGTCACCATTTTGCAGACTGACAAAAACATTGTGGGGCTTTTTTTTTTCCTTAGAAGAACCAAAATTATCCATCTGCTCATACTAAGAACAGACTCCACTCCAAACAAACTCCCTCTGAAATTAATGGCCTGTCTTCAGCTCTGTTTGACACAGGAGGCAGGAAGAAAGGAATCCTACACAGTACTCTGTGGATGTGGACTCATGATGCTACGGGAATAAATGAACAGTTTGCCATTGCTAAAATGAAGATGAATTTCTCTGCTCTTTACTCCACTGCTCCTCTCTCCCTCTGATCATGAATTCCTCCTGCTTTCTAACACTTTCAGTAGTACAGTATGACATACTCTCCCTTTTGTTTTTCAAGATCTCACATAAGCTGTATCAGATCAGAGTTGTAACCACAGTGGCAGTGCCGTGGAGCATTGCATCTTCTTCAGGCAACATGATTTGAGCTACCAACAATGTGGTGGAGTCTGCAACCTTTAGTAAGACCACAACTTTTCACCCCTGCTCATATCATCCCACCCAACTCTGTGCTTGTAAACAGGCACAGTGGTGCCTGAGAGCTTTACAGACTGTCTCAACAGGACTAAACTGAGAAGTCTGTAAGCCAAATCTTCAACTATTCAATGAGAGTTTGAGACCTTCAGAGCTCCATAGTGACATACCTCGTGCTCTTCGATTAATGACTGCAAGCTCTGGACAATCTTCTGCTGACTATCACCACCGTGCGCAGCTTAACCAGAGGGTGTATCTTTTGGGACCAGGCATTCATGACCACTGCAGTGAATACAGACGTGGTAGATAACATGGTAGATAACAGCCATGTTTGGTCTTACACCTAGGCCAAGACTCTTAAAGTACAACTGGTGATACTGACAACACACATGAAACACATCACACAGAGCTGCTGCGTGCATCTATGCACACCCAAAAGTAGACAGGAAAGGGCATGGCACACACAGCCCCTTGCAGGCACTGATGGCTGTCCTGTTGATCAGATTACAAGGTAAAATGGTTTAAATTACTAACAAAGAAGGGGGAAAAAAAGTCACTTTTTCCTTTCTTCTTGCCAAGGCACTTATCTTCCGTTTTTGAGCGGGTTCATCCTTGTGATAGGATGAACATCACAACTGGTTCAAAGCAAATGAAAGGAGTAGGCAGCCAACAGTAAGGAGGGATAAGGAATGGGATATGAGAATTTTCCTTCTCAACACCGTTTTCACTTCTTTTTCACTGTGTCACAAAACCCACAGCCTTGCTTATCCACAGAGGCTACTCTGGCAACCCATCTTAAGATACACCAACAATATGGTGCAACACTGAAGATTTACCTCAATCTGATACTAGAAGATGTGATGAAATAGAAAATGCTAACAAACTTAAACACACACACGTTCTAGTGAGGTATGAAGTTTTCATTGGCACACTTTTGCAATGATCATCTTATTCACAAATGTCAAAAGCCATGTAAGCAATTCAGTCATCCCAGACCTGTGCCAAGATAATCTTTGTACCATGCCATCACATATTTTATTATTTATGCACCCACCACATTTTAAAGAAAAGCTACTGTGCTCAAGGATCTTTTTTTTAAAGAAAAAAAGAGACCTAAGCACACCACATTTCATATTGCTCTCCTTTTCAAAGGAAACTAACTTCAAAGCCTTCAAAAATCAAAAGAAAAAATAACAAGAATAATGCAAGTGCATTTTAAAAATATCTGTCAGATTTTTTTTGGCTCCCTTTGCAGTCAGGAACTCCACAGCACTGTTAGCTGTAGGACTGAAAGTCTTCACCATTTGTGTTTAACCCAAGCTACTTAGATTTCAATTTCTGATGTGTCCTTCAATTACTATTCAACACTGACAATACCCTTGACACCTTGTTACACTGTTTAAAAAAATAGTCTTTCCTCTGGCTTGCTCTGAGGATGGGAATTGAGTGTATTCTTATTCCATGACTTCACTGATAGTTAAACGTTTGCTTAAATAAATGTTTAAATACTATCTTTCTGAAGCACATTTCCTCTGAGATGAAGCCATATGCATGTACAGAATGCTTACTTTGGAATTAACTGAAAATTATTCTTCCTTTCTGCAAGCCTGCAGAGCCAACACAGAGATTCAGTTCTCCCATAAGTATAAGCCAAGAGGCTATTAGCTAAGCGCTAAATTTGGCTTCAGAATTCCTGTCACACTTCAGCAGGCTTGCTTACTGCAGAATTCTTCCATTGGGTACAGGTACCATTATCAAAAACCAATATCCATCTTTGCACAACTACCCTAATACAGTTTGAACTTCACTCTGCAGGTGTGCAGAGTACTTCAGCTCTCACTGGCTCAAACAAGCTACAGGTCACTAACAAGAGGAAGAAATCTGGCCCTTACCCAGATCCACTTACAAAGAAAAATATTAAGGCACTTGGATTTAGGGAAGTCCTCTGATTACATACATCTATCTTCAAAAATTCAATGACATGCCCTTACTAGGAAGTGCTACGTTTTCATTTATTTTTCCCAGAGTAAAACTTTGGTCATGAATGCTTTGGCAGTGAATGATGCCTTTCAAACAAGGCCCTAAGTTTTCGGGAGTCTCCAATCCTACAGACATTCAACTTAAAGCCCCGAATGTTGATACCACACGATCCCAGTGTCACATCTAAAGAATGTAGTAACATTTCCCCTGAAAGACATGCTTACACTCCATTCTGCTACCCCTTGAAATGGCTCAACATATTCAGAGAGCTGAAAATACGTTCTGAGGGAACAGTTAAGCCTGAGTGGGATATGGAAAGAATATACAGACAGACAAAGGAGATCTGGAGTAAAACAGCTGTGTGACTTTCTGATGAGTAATCACATTGGTGGATGGGCAGAATCAGCTGAGTCTCACACATTGCTTCATATGTGTGTGCACAGAGTATAATGCCAGTTCTGATTTTAATGATTCCATATCTTACAGATCACTAACAAGAAGGTTTGAGTACCTCACTTTGTCTGTTGGTGCCACAGTTGAAAGAAACCACCTCTCACCACTAAACAGTGCCTGGGAACAGGCTGGGGTCACAAGTCCAAGCAGGCTTGCTAGAAAGAGTGCCTTGCACTGAATTAGCAATAGCACTTCCTCAACTTTTCATTGGAGATCTGCCATTAACATGCAGATCAGATTTACCCTGTTTAGTACAGGAGACCTGCCAAGTCCTCAGTCTAAGTAGGTAAGGAAAAGTTGCCTCTGTTGTGATTCCTTCTAACAGATACTGGACATCATTACCAGCCAAGCATAGTTTCCGCTTAAGAGATTCAATACCAGTCATGAATTTATTACCTTCCAGCAGAACACTCAACAGTGAGAGTATTGCTAAGTGATATTTTAATGTTATCATATTGAAATACATAGTATTTTAAGTACACTGTATTTTATAAAATACCCAGTATTTTAAGAGGAACTTTCATTTCCAACACAAACTAAGAGAACAAAATATTTTCATTGCCAGAGGTACTTTCATTACTGCCAAGGCACTAAAACTCACGAAAAACTTTACCTCCACACACAACTGTGTCCTGACATGTGCAACAGGTAGGGAGGCTGTGCAATTGCCTTCTGTTTCTACTTTCTGATGAACAGAAAGGGCTTCTTCAGCCAGTGACTGTGCACAAGTGGAAAACAGCCTCCACTGCTAAAAGAGGAGGGGAAAGAAAAGACAAAAAGGTCAGCTAGACAGCTCAGTAACACTGGAAACTTGCCTCACACAGTCTCCTACGGAGTTCAATGAACCACTGCTTTTAACCTTTCAGTCTATTCACTTGCAACTGGTTAAGCTAGCTATTTAACAAGTGAAAATTTACAGTCCTCAGCCTTCCAATTCTGACAGAACTACAAATACTGTAGAAATTCACTCAGATTCAAATCTGAAAATAATTTCTGGGAAAAAGCCTAGTACTTAAAATACCATACAGTTTACTGACCACACAATTTCCCAGTCTTATAAAGATTTTTACTTCAGCATAGCAACCTAAGATTGTAAAATAACAACCCCTTGGTACCATTAAAAATGTTACGACAGAATCCTCCTCCTTACAGTTACAAAACCTGGAGATAAACACAAGGAGACAGTGGGAACACATTTTCAAGTGGAAAAGAAAAAAAAAAGAAAAAAAAAAAAAAAAAGGAAATGAGAAGGAGCTTCTCAAGGAAAACAGCATGCATGTTCTAGACAGGCTTTTACTTCTTCTAAGATTAATCCAGAAGTCAACG